TTAAATGCTATAAAAACTTGTTTTTATCATACAACATGTGATCTATTCTGAAGAATGTTTTGTCTGTGCTAGAAAAGAATATTTTCCTTCTGTTGGAAGGAATATTCTATATCTGTCTGTGAGGTCTATCTGATATAAAGTGTAGTTCCAGCCCAAGTTACCTTGGCAATTTTCTGTTTGGATTATCCATGAAAGAAAGTAATCAAGTTCCCTACTTTTATTGTCTACTTGTCCCTTCAGATCTCTTAATATTTGCTTTGTATATTTAGGTAACCTGATGTGGGGTACAAAAATATTTATAATTACTATACTTAAAATGATAATACTTCTTAGAGCCTACATGTCAATGCATCATCAGCCCTTTATCTACATCTTCAATCACATTCTAATGAGTGATTTCCTTTGCTCACTTAGCCTTTCCTCTTTCCACAGCAGATTTTTAGTTTCTAGAATTTTCTTCCTACTGTTACTCTCTTGAATACTTTTTCAGTTGGTTGCTCTCTCCTATAAAGCCCTTTTTGCCCTATTACTCCAAGCAAGGTATATTTTCTCTGCACTACTTAACAGTAGTTTCCACAAGTTTTAAATCTGTGTATGGACTGTGAGATTCACAAGGACAGGAAACAATGCCTTTTGGTATTATTGTTTCTTCAACACCTGGCAACTGTCCCTAGAATAGATAGATGTTCAATAAATATTTCTTGAGGGAATAATTATTTCCAAAATTAAGTAAAATGAGAAGTGAAATTCTTTGCAAATGGTACACACACTTTAGAAACATTCAATAATTACTTTCAAATTATCCAGAATAAAGTTTGTATCAATTCAAACTTTTGCCAGTAATGTATAAAGCTATCTGTTTAATACTCTTACTCACTTCTGGGTGGGGGGTATTACCTTTAAAATAAATCTTTGCTAATGTTACAGTGGTGTTTTAATTTTTATTTTAGAAGAGAATTTGACCTCTTTTCTATGTTAATTGGTCATCTATTTTACGTCTATCAATTTTCTATTCATGTCCTTTTAAATTTTTGTTACTTTTGTATTGATTTCTAAAATCTTTTAGTATATTAAATATAGCTCTTTTTATATGTGATATCTTGCACTTATTTTTCCTAGATTTTCATTGTACTTTAATTTTATCTTTAATTCACAGAGATTTTAGAATTTTATGGCTTCTATTCCCATCCTTCCACTGAAATTGCTCTTAACCAAAATTATTAATAATCCTGTAGTTATTACATCTAATGGGCATTTTTCAGGCTTCATCTTATTTGATCTACTCAGAAGGAAGCAGTATAGGTCATACTTTAGATATTTGGTTTATAGTGATTTGAAGCATCTCTGTCACCTCTGAATCATAGCTTTTGAAGTTAACATAATAAAAAATGAAATTAAGTGCCACTGGGCAAATTTGTTTTTGGTTACATTAAATGCAAATCATCAGGTACAAGCCTTTCAGCAAATCCCTCTGCTTTTATGATTATGGAAATGAGTCAAATAGTGTATGAAACCAAATGCTAGACCTGAATCAGAAATAAAGAAATTAACCCTAGAGATTGAGAAAGAGTTGAAAGTACAGCATTCCAAGCAGAAATAAAAAATATGGGGCTCTGAAAGAATGTTGTATTAGTTTCCTAGAGCTGCTGTAAGAAAGTACCACACACTGGATAAAGAAACAGAAATGTATTCTCTCACAATTCTAGAGGCTTAAAGTTCTAAATCATTGGCAGAGCCATGCTCTCTCTGAAGCCTATAGAAGGGAATTCTTCACTACTTCTTTTAGCTTCTGGTAGCCCTAAGTATTCCTTGCTTTGTGGCAGCATAACACAATTCTCTGTCTCCATCTTCACATGGACATCTTCCCTCTGTGTCTCCCCTCCTCCCCAAACTTCTATTTTTATAAGGACAACTTACCTGATTAACATTTGCAAAGACCCTACTTCCAAAGAAGGTCACATTTACAGTACTAGAGTTAATGACTTCAATATGTTTTTTTGGTATATACAATTCAATCCGTAACAGGTATGAACCGAGTAAATGGGAGAGAAATGAATCGTGTTAGATTTCTAGAACAAAGCGTTAAACACCAAACACTAAATTGACATTGAATAATGTCATTGAATAATGATAGTTTATGAAAATGATAGTTTAACTAATGATTAGTTGATTAAATAGATCATCATAGAAAAGGAGCATTTGTGGATTTAAGAAACATAATGAGGGGTGCCTGGGAGGCTCACTTGGTTAAGTGTCAGACTTTTAATTTCATGATTCATGAGTTTGAGCCCTGTGTGCCTGCTTGGGATTCTCTCTCTCTGCTTCTCTCTGTGCCCCTTCCTCACTTGTTCTCTCTCAAAATAAATAAACTTACAAAAAAAGAAATATAATGAGAAAGTGTTTAATGAAATTCCTCATAATTCCATTTTGAATCTCAAGTAAATTTTTTTATTATTTAGGCATGCTAATTTGTTTCTATAAATAAGTTAGTGGCAAAGTTTACTATGAGAGGCTGGTATATAATTAAGATTGATTGAATTCCTTATTATTTCTTGGAGGGGACAACATAAATATCAAATAGTTGGAAATTGAGAATTTATCTGATATTGACAATTCAGTTTAGGTCCATGAAAAATTTGGTAAAATCTTTTTAAATTAAGGCAGTAAAATTAATCCAATACATGCAACTGCATAATCCAATTAAATACAGTATTAGTTTTGACATTTTTTTTCTTTCCATGTTTTTATTTAAATTCAATTAGTTAACATATAATTAGTATTGGTTTCAGGAATAGAATTTACTGATTCATGACTTACATATAATACACAGTGCTCATCAAAACAAGTGCCCTCCTTAATGCTATCACCCATTTAGCCCATCCCCTGTGTACATCCCTCCATCAAACCTCAGTTTATTCTCTATAGTTGAGAGTCTTTCACAGTTTGCTTCCCTCTCTGTTTTTATCTTACTGATCCTTCCCTTCCCCTATGTTCATCTATTTGGTTTCTTAAATTCTACATGCTAGTGAAATCCTGTAGTATTTGTTGTTCTCTGTCTTATTTTGCTTAGCTTATTATACTCTAGTTCCATCTACCTTGTTGCAAATGGAAAAGTTTCATTCTTATGGTTGAGTAATATTCCACTGTATACATATCATATCTTCTTTATCCATTCCTCAGCTGATAGACATTTGGACTCTTTCTAGAATTTTGCTATTGTTCTTAGTGCTGCTATAAACATTTGGATGCCTGTGCCCCTTTGAATCAGTATTTTGTATTCTTTGGATAAATACCTAGTAGTGCAATTGCGGGGTTCTAAGCTAGTTCTATTTTATCTTTTTGAGGAAACTCTATACTTTTTTTCCAGAGTGGCTGCATCAGTTTGCATTGCCACCAACAGTGTAAAAGGATGTTCCCTTTTTCCACATTCTCGCCAACTTCTATTGTTTCCTGAGTTGTTAATTTTAGCCATTCTTACAGGTGTGAGGTGGTAGCTTATTGTGGTTTTCATTTGTATTTCTTGTTCTAGACCAACCCAAAATGGACTTTGAAGATACTCCATAGAGTGTCAGAAACTTGATTACAAAGGTCACATGCAATGTGTGACAGACGCAACTGAGAAGAATACGAGACCACAAAGCGGTTGGTAAACAACTTATTTTCAAACTGTTGCAGGCCTGATGAAAACCTGTATCAGCTCTCTTGTAAAATGACTATTGTTTACTTCACTTTATTAATTCTTAGAAAGATAGGACAAAACACAGCAGCATAGACAAAAATTAAGGCAGAGCAAGTTGAGATGTAGGGAAACAACACTATTTCAATTACAGTTGTCCAATTACACTGAACAAATATTCACTGATCCCTGCCAAGAGACTGAGTTGGGTTTAGGGACCTGGTCAAAGAATGCGAAAAGTGTTGATTTGGCTAAGATAGCCTGACTATAATTATGAATATGCATATCAAACAAGGATAATTATTCATGATATTTTTTTATTTCCTAGGGTCATAAAGAAATTTAAAAATATTTCTAGATAATCAAGTAATAATGATTATTTAGATATGTTTATTACTTTATCCTGTGACTACATTTTTAAAGCCCGTTTTCTCCTCTTTAACTTTTGGTAGACTAAAGTAATGTGCTTTTGCACATCTTTTGATAAATCTTAATCTTGCTAATAAAATTTTTGTGTGATGTGTAAATTAAGGTTTTATTTACATTCCAAATCTATTATAATACCATTTACAATTTGCTTACCTGAGATTCCTCTTTTTCAAGCCTTCAGTTTAAGATTTTCCTCTTCATTGGGGAATTTATTCCTACATGGTTACTTAGTAGCTATAGATTAAAAAATGCATTTGATTTCACTTGGCATATCTTTAGAGTTAACATTCTTATAGTTGGCAAGTTTTGGGTGGACCTATTTTCTGAAATAGTTGAAAATAAAAATATCTCAAGTTTTTAGAGAATGCAAATATTCTATATAAATAGATAAGATAGGTGGGTAGGTAGATAGGTAGTAGGCTGTTGTAGTTACTGAGTGCTAAAGACATAGGAAAAGACTTTACATGAATATGAACCTCAGAATTCAAGTTTTTAATACAATATTCACTGTCTTCTAAGTCATATATGCATAGACACACAAGTGTAAGTTAATTTCTCCAACAGTTGATAAAAGGGTTCAGCATTCGGAGTTCTGTATTATAACTGTCTTTGACAGTAGGATGAAAAGAAAAGGACTGAAAGTTCAAAAGCATCACCTTCAACTATTAGGACACAGCATCACTGGAGTTTGCTTGATGTTCCTCTGATAGACAAATGCTTTTTTCAACTTGATGTTTCAAACAGTAGCTCTTTCACTTGCAGCCATTGTCTATACCAAGTTAAAAATGCTTGGAATACCACCAAGGGAACCTTGTGAAGACAATTGGGTATGATGTCATAGACCCTTCAGGGAAACCTCTAGAAGTGAGATTCAGTCATATGAGAGACTAAACAAGAAAGATGCTTACTGAGTAAGGTGGGATCCAACAAGAGTGTAGTACAGAATGCAGTAATTTATGAATTACTATTTTCTAAGGTAGCTCAACATAACAACATTTAATGAAGAAAGGCAAACTTACCTATCTGGTATATTTGTGATTCTCGATGATTAATTACTTGAAGATTAACACATTTAAAATTCACCAGTCTTAGAAATGGAAGAAAGTGATGAACCTGATCAGCCTATCTCAGCAGGGAGGCAAGAAATTCGAAAGAGGCGACGACACAGTCAACCAATGGTAGATAAATCCCAGCAAACGGAAGTGACAGAGAAAAAGAAAAATTTGCCTATATCACAATCATCTGGCCCTAAAGCTACCCTTAGTATTGGTAACATTTCTGGAAGCAAAGTCAACCCTGAGTCTCTCAGAGTATCTTCTCAACTTCAGCAAACTTGGGCAAAGAGAAAGCGTGTACGTGATATGACTGATAAATCTCTGCAAACAGACACTACTGTAGAAGAGAAAAAAGAAGAAATCAAGTCAGTTGGTGAAACAGTGGTACCTGAAGAAATGCCAACAACTGTTGGAAAAGTAGTCCCTGAAATTCCAGAGAGTGTTCAGGAAGTAAAAGTTCCGACAAGCAGACACTCATTTCATTTCAAAATAGACAGATCTCAGCAGACCAGTTGTACTGGAGACTGGACAATGATGAACATTCCTCAAATAGAAAAAGTGGACAGAGAACAGCAGACGTCCTTTAGTGAATTAGAAATAGTGGTTATTGGCAGACCAGATAGCTCTTTTTCAAAGTCATATGAAGTTGTGCAGAAACGTAAATTCTCAGGGAAGATTTTCACTAGTGAACATCCCGAATTGCAACCCTCAACAAGTAGAGATGAAGCAACTAGGCAGGTAGGTATTAGCAGATCTTCATTTAGTCAGCAAAGCAAAAAAGGTAGTTTGGTACCTTTAGAAGATGAGCAATACGTTCCAGGTGAGGTACAGCCTCCCATTGCAGAAGAGGTCTCTGCTGAAGTGCAACCTACACCAGCTGAGGACATTACTGCAGGAAAGACCACTATTGAACTTCATCCACAAACTGAGGAAGCTCCTGCAGAAAAGGGCTCTGCCAAAGTACAGCCAACCCTGGGTGAAGAGGCTCTTTCAGAAGGGCCTCCTGCTGAAGCTCAGTCTCCAAAAGTTGAAAAAGCTCCTGTACAGCCTTTCCCAAAGGAGGAGACTCCGGAAGAAGACGCCCCTGCTAAAGTAGAGTCTATCCGTGCTGAGGAGGCTTTTTCAGGAGAGCCTTTATCAACTGAAGAGCCTTCTATACAGGAGGCCCCAGAACTTCAGCTTCCACCAGCTGTGGAGGCACCTACAGAAGAGGCTCAAACTGAAGTTCAGTCTCCACCATCTGAAGCCTCAGCTGAAGTTCAGTCTCCACCAGCGGAGGCCCTGGCCGAAGTTCAGTCTCCACCAGCAGAGGGCCTGGCCGAAGTTCAGTCTCCATCAGCTGAGGAGGCCCCAGCTGAAGTTCAGTCTCCACCATCTGAAGCCTCAGCTGAAGTTCAGTCTCCACCAGCGGAGGCCCCAGCCGAAGTTCAGTCTCCACCAGCGGAGGCCCTGGCCGAAGTTCAGTCTCCACCAGCAGAGGGCCTGGCCGAAGTTCAGTCTCCATCAGCTGAGGAGGCCCCAGCTGAAGTTCAGTCTCCACCATCTGAAGCCTCAGCTGAAGTTCAGTCTCCACCAGCGGAGACCCCAACTGAAGTTCAGTCTCCACCAGCTGAGGAGGCCCCAGCAGAAGTTCAGTCTCTACCAGCTGAGACCCCGGCTGAAGTTAAGTCTCCACCAGCTGAGGAGGCCCCAGCCGAAGTTCAGTCTCCACCAGCTGAGACCCTAGCTGAAGTTCAGTCTCCACCAGCTGAGGAGGCCCCTCCAGAAGAGGCCCCAGCTGAAGTTCAGTCTGCAACAGCTGAGGAGGCCCCTCCAGAAGAGGCCCCGGCTGAAGTTCAGTCTGCAACAGCTGAGGAGGCCCCTCCAGAAGAGGCCCCAGCTGAAATTCAGTCTCCACCAGCTGAAGCCCAGGTCGAAGTCCAGCCTCTGCCAGCTGAGGAGGCCCCTGAAAAAGAGGCCCCAGCTGAAGTTCAGTCTGCAACAGCTGAGGAGGCCCCTCCAGAAGAGGCCCCAGCTGAAGTTCAGTCTCCACCAGCTGAAGCCCAGGTCGAAGTCCAGCCTTTGCCAGCTGAGGAGGCCCCTGAAAAAGAGGCCCCAGCTGAAGTTCAGTCTGCACCAGCTGAGGAGGCCCCTGCAGAAGAGACCCCCGCTGAGGTTCAGCCTCCAGCAGCTGAGGAGGCCCCTGCAGAAGAGACCCCCGCTGAGGTTCAGCCTCCAGCAGCTGAGGAGGCCCCTGCAGAAGAGACCCCCGCTGAGGTTCAGCCTCCAGCAGCTGAGTCCTCAGAAGAAGTTCAGTCTCCACCAACTGAAGAGACCGCTGCAGAAGGGACTTTAGCTGAGGTACAGTCTCTGCCAACTGAGGAGGCCTCTGCAGAAGAGGCCCTAGCTGAATTTTGGTCTCCACCAGCTGAGGCCTCTGCAGAAGTTCAGTCTCCGCCAGATGAGGAGGCCTCTGCAGAAGAGGCTTCAGATGAAGTTTGGTCTCTACTAGACATAGAGGCCCCTGAAGAAGAGGTGTCAGCTAAAATTTGGCCTCTACTAGTAGCTAAAGAGGCCCCAGCTGAGGAGACCCCCGAAGAAGAGACCTCAGCTGAAGTTCAGTCTCTACCAAATGTGAAGGGCTCTGAAGAACAGACTCCAGATGAGTTTCAGTCTCCATCAGCTGAAGACATTACTTTAGAAATGGTCTCTGTTGACAAACAGTTTCCAGCGGCCAAAGAGGACTTTGTTACACAAATCTCTATAGAAAATGTCCTTAGTCCACCATCTGAACAAACTGCTGCAGATGAGGTTCTGGTAGACCATGTGTCTACTGAATACCAATTTCTCCAGACAGATGTCCCAGTGATAAAATTAGAATCAAAGGTTTTGGGAGATCATCAAAAACCTGAATAACCTTTGGAACTGGATCCTGTCGCTGAAGATCTAATATCAAGAAAGAGCAGGTTCCTAACTTTGAAATAGAGGGTGTCATCTATGTAGAACTAAAATAGAGACCTCTTCCTCAGCTCTAAGTAGGTCTTAACTACACTATCAATCAGAAGCTAAGGGCTTCTGGACATACACACTTTAGAAAAGTATAGGCATTTGGAAGTAAAATGGGAAATAACAGGAAACCCCAAAATATGGACTACTGGCTGGAAAATGAACAATAAAAACTAGTGGCTTAAAATGTGTTATTTTCAATCAAATCTAGCATATATGAAATATCTATTTGGAAATTAAGTAAATTGATGGTTTAATCACTTAAAATATCATTTCTATAATAAACCTTGTTGAAAAGGGTAAAGTATACTCTATAACTATATTTTACTTTCACTATATGTAGCTTACAGTGGAAAAGACATTTTCTTTGCTGTAGTTCTCTCATCTACTTTAGATTCATTGTGATTTGGTCACATAGCTAAAGGTATGTGTTTTTTTTTTCTTTTCATTATAATACATCATATCTCTAAATCTCTATTTGATTCCTTCTGAGACAAGCATTCCTTTCCTGTTTTCATCCCTATCTTGCATATTTTACGGTTCCATATCTGGATAGGAAAGCTTAAAACCTTTATAAAAGCCTTCATTTTAATGAAGATAATCCAGATAAAGTATTTTAAAAAGTGTGTAAACATAAAGAAAAATATACTTAGCCTCAAGAGCATATTTCTGCTTAGTTTTAATTTCATTTCAACTTAGACTGTGATGAGTCCTTTGGAAGCTTGATTTTTTTGTACTTTGAACTTGTGATGAAGAGTATTGAATTAGTAGTAGTACAGCAGTCTCCTCTTATCCACATTAAACAATTTTTTAGATGTTTATTTATTTTGAGAGAGAGAGAGTGTGAGCAGGGGAGGTTCAGAGAAAGAGGGAGACACAGAATCTGAAGCAGGCTCTGGGTTCCAAGCTGTCAGCACAGAGCCCAAAGTGAAGGCCAAACCCAGGAGACATGGGGTCATGGCATGAGCTGAAGTTGGAAACTTAACTGGCTGAGCCACCTAGGCACCCCTTCAGTTTTGCTTTCCATAGTTTCACTAACTCATGGTCAACTGTGGTCCAGAGGATATCTTCCATCTGATGTACCCTCTCTTGAAGGTCAATAGTAGCCTAATGCTGTGTCACAATGCCTACACCATTCAGTTGACTACATCTCATCATGTAGGCTTTTGTCACTTCATATCATAACAAGGATAAGAGTTGAATACAGTACAACAAGATATTTGGAAGGGAGAGATCACATTCACATAAGTTTTATTACAGGATATTGTTATAATTGCTCTATTTTATTATTTGTTATTGTTGTTAACCTGTTACTCTGCCTAATTTATAAATTGCGCTGTATCATAGGTATGTATATGCATAGGAAAATGCAGTATTCATAGCACTTGGTACGATCCATATTTCAGGCATTCTCTGGGGCTCTCTAAGGGTATTCTCTGTGGATAAGGGGGGAGCTACTGTATAAGTTTTTTACATTTTTGAAGAGTAATTATAGATTATTATAAGATATCTGTTAATAAAGAACATCATGGTTTCTATGGTTATGGCAACTTTTGGGAAAATATTTTCTTCAGCTATAATTAAATTGCTACATGCTGAAATAATGAGATGATTCTCTCAAAACGTTTAATTTTGTTAGTGTATTTTTCTGTTTAGCAAAAACTATAGATTGATGATTCCAGACCTTGTTAAAATTTGATGCTGTATAATTATTAGATGTTTCTCTCACTCTTCATTACCTCTGTACAGTGTGTGACAAGAGTATGTGATATTTTTAAGTATTTTTAAATAATTTTATAAGTTTTTGTAAGTGAAATCTTTTTCAATATGTGCTAAATATGAGGATGAGAAACATTCTACAGTTCTTGAATGAGGGTTGTTTCTTTTTTATATTTCCAAGTCCATTTTATTTTGTTTTCTGAGATACTTAAAATCCAGTTAAACTCCTTTTTCTAAATTTGAAGGGCTTTTTTTTTTTCTATTTTAGATTTTAGAGGCTTTTATTTAAATTCATTAGTTAATATATAATGTAATATTCGTTTCAGGAAGTACAATCAGTACTTCCATATATGACCTGGTGCTCATCATGACAAGTGTACTCCTTCATCCCCATCACCTATTTAATCCAACCCTTCACTTTCCTTCACGCTGGTATTGTTCTCTATAGTTAAGAGTCAGTTTCTTGGTTTGTCCCTCTCTGTCTCTTTTTTTCCCTTTGCTCATTTGTTTTGTTTCTTGAATTCCATATATGAGTGAAATCATATGATATTTGTCTTTTTCTGACAGACTTATTTCACTTAGTATAATACTGCCTAGCTCTCTCAATGGCATTGCAAATGGCAAGATTTCATTTTTTTTATGGCAGAATAATATTCCTGTGTGTGTGTGTGTGTGTGTGTGTGTGTGTGTGTGTATGTATCTTCTTTATCCATTCATCAATTTGTGGACACCTAGGCTATTTCCATAATTTGATTATTGTAAATAATGCTGCTATAACAATCAAATTAGTATTTTTGTATTCTTTCGATAAGTACTCAGCAGTGCAGTTGCTGGATCATGGGATAGTTCTATTTTTAACTTTTTAAAAAATGTTTTATTTATTTCTGAGAGAGAGAGACAGCGTGAGCAGGGGAGGGTCAGACAGAGGAAGACACAGAATCTGAAGCAGGCTCCAGGCTCTGAGCTAGCTGTCAGCACAGAGCCCAACGCAGGGCTCGAACCCACAAACCGGAGATCATGACCTGAGCTGAAGTCGGATGCTTAACCGACTGAGCCACCCAGGCACTCCTATTTTTAACTTTTTGAAGAAACTCCATACTATTTTCCACAGTGGCTGCACCAGTTTGCATTCTCACCAACAATGCAAGAGGGTTCCCCTTTCTGCACATCCTCCCCAATACCTGTTGTTTTTTATGTTGTTCATTTTATCCACTCTATTAGCTGTGGGGTGATATCTTAGTTTCAATTTGCAGTTCCCAATAAATGATGTTATGAATCGTTTCATGTGTCTGTTGGCCATCTGTATGTCTTCTTTAGAGAGATATCTATTCATGTTTTCTGCCAATTTTTTAAATTGGATTATTCATTCCTTTGGATGCTGAGTTTTATAAGTTCTTTATATATTGTTGGATGCTAAGCCTTTATAGAATATGTCATTAGAAAATATCTTCTCCCTTTCTGAAGTTTGCTTTTGGTTTGTTGATTGTTTCCATCACTGTGCAGAAGTTTTTTATTTATTTAGTTCCAATAGTTTATTTTTGCTTTCATTTCCCTTGCCTCAGGAGACATATCTAGAAAAATGTTGCTATGAGCAATGTCAGAGAAATTACTGCCTGTGCTTTCTTCAAGGATTTTTATGGTTTCTTGTCTAAGTTAGGCCTTTAAGCCATTTTGAATTTATTTTTGTGTATGGTGAAAGATAGTTGCCCAGTTTCATTGTTTTGCAAGTTGCTGTCCTGTTTTCCCAACACTATTTGTTGAAGAGACAGTCTTTATCTCATTGGATATTTTTTTCCTGCTTTGTCAAAGATTAATTGGCCACATAACTGTGAGCTCATTTCTGGGTTTTCTATTCTGTTCCATTAATCTGTCTTTTTTTAATGCTAAATACCATACTGTTTTGATTGCTGCAGTTTTGTAATGTAACTTGATGTTCAGAATTATGATGCCTCCAGCTCTGCTTTTCTTTTTCAAGATTGCTTTGGCCATTTGGGGTCTTTTGTGGCTCTATACGAATTTTAGGGTTGTTTGTTCTAGCTCTGTGAAAAATGCTATTGGTATTTTGATGGAGATTGCATTAACTGTGTAAATTGCTTTGGGTATTATAGATATTTTAACAATATTTCTTCATCCAATCCATAAGCATGGAATGTCTTTTCATTTCTTTGTGTCATCTTCAATTTCTTTCATCAGTGCTTTCTAGTTTTCAGAGTACTGGTTTTTCAGCTCCTTGATTAGGTATATTCCTAGTTATTTATTGATTTTGGTACAATTGTAAATGGACTGTTTTCTTAATTTCTCTTTCTGTTGTTTCATTATTTGTATATAGAAATACAATAGATTTATATACGTTGGTTTTTTATCTTGGGGTTTTACTGAATTCGTTTATTCTAGTAGTTTTTCCAATTTTTTTCTTGTGGTTGAACTTCAAATTTCACTTCAAAAAGTGAAAAACTTCACTTTTCCTACCAGAAAAAGTGCACGGTATGACTTCAGACAAAACAAAACCAAACAAAAAAACCCCAGTAAATCAGAAGTCTGTAGTGTTTTCTATTTAAAGTACATCATTGTAGGGGTGCCTGGGTGGCTCAGTCGGTTAAGCATCCAACTTTGGTTCAGGTTATGATCTCATGGTTTGTGGGTTCGAGCCCCACATCGGGCTCTGTGCTGACAGCTAGCTCAGAGCCTGGAGCCTGTTTCAGATTCTGTGTCTCCCTCTCTGACCTCCCCTGCTCATGCTCTCTCTCTCTCAGGAATAAATAAAACATTAAAAACAGACTTAAAAAAATAAAGTACATCATTGTAAACAAAGATGACTTTACTTCTTCCATTCTAATTTGGATGACTTTTATATTTTTTCCCTGCCTAATTACTCTGGCTAGGATTTTCAGTGCTATGTTGAATAAGTGTGGCAAAAATGAGAATCCCTGTCTTGCTCCTGATCTTAGACAGAAAGCTTTCAGCTTTTTAGCTTTGAGTATACTGTTAGCGGAGGGCTTTTCACATGTGGCCTCTGTTATGATGAATTAAGTTCCATCTGTGTCGAATTTGCTTAGAGTTTTCATCATGAAAGGATGTTGATTTTGTCATATGCTTTTTCTGCCTCTATTGAGATGATTATATGACTAACACCCATTTTTTGTTTGTTATGGTCCTCTATGACTAATGAGTGCAAATCTTGTTGTCTTTAGAAAATATATAATTAGGGGCCCAACCCTTTGGTAGCAATCTTTTTTTTTTTAATTTTTTTATTTTTTTATTTATTTCTAGGAGAGAGAGAGAGAGACAGTGTGAGCAGGGGAGGTCAGAGAGAGAGGGAGTCACAGACTGAAACAGGCTCCAGGCTCTGAGCTGGCAGTCAGCACAGAGCCCGACGCGGGGCTCGAACCCACGAACCGCGAGATCATGACCTCAGCGAAAGTCGGACGCTTAACCGACTAAGCCACCCAGGCGCCCCCCTTTGGTAGC